GAGTATATGTCATTTACCAAATCATAGCAAGAGAAAGGTTGTAGCTAAAAAGCTGAAACTTGGCAAGTGAAAAATATGCTGATGAAAAATTTTGATTGTCCGGTAAAATTTGACGTTTTCGTAGTTTCCATGGCAACACGAACGATTGAATACAAACTTAAAATTTCACTTTTGTTCAGTTTACAAAAAATTCGCTCATTAGATTTTCCTATAAACTTGCACACAGCTTGCTATAATTTATCATTACCATTTGAAACTTATTTGACCAAATTTTAACAGACGGGTTTTTAGATAATAATATAATTGTACTGTAATTATTAAATATGTCACAAAAATCGTCTGTTCGGTCATCTTCCATTTTAAAGTTCTCATTATTCAAAATACGATAAAAGTAAAAATTCTGCTAAATATCACAAAATTTTAATGAGCAGATTTTGAGAAATCGTCTTTCACCGCCATGTTTGTTTGTCTAATTAAAACATGCGCCGTCACGCAAGTTACCGCTAACCACCTGCAAAACTGTGTTCAGCCACCTTTAAAAGGGCCTCTTTACATGCAGGTGAGGGACCCTAGATAGGTGCAGGTAACATGTGGTGGGTCACCCCACCTATCAAGTAAACGTGATTAAATTAAAATGAGAGATTATTTGGACAGGTGGGTTACCCCACTAAAGAGAATTACCTCGCCTACCTGGGGTACCCCACATCGATGTACATGTAAACAGGCCCTGAGTGACCTTGAGATGCGTGACCAAACAAAAAAAGATGTAGCGCGGCTTAGAATGCAAACAGGCCCTGAGTGACCTTGAGATGCGTGACCAAACAAAAAAAGATGTAGCGCGGCTTAGAATGCAAAGAAAAAACCTTAAAAGCACTTGATTAAGAGCACTTAGAGGTAAAAGAAACCTGTCTTTTGGAGCCTTTGTTAAATGAAACAGCACCTTCAAGACTGAAACAATATTAAGTTTGCTTTACTGTCAATATCATGCAGACATAGATGAGTGTTCAAGTGGAAGTCATAATTGTGACAGTGATGAGAGAGCAACCTGTACAAATACTATTGGTTCATATTTGTGTTCATGCAAAGAAGGTTATGAAGGAGATGGAAGGACTTGCAGTCTTCCAACAGGTAAACGGATGACGTTGTTAATGAATGCATAAGATGAGATCTACGTTAGAATATCATAGAAATGGCGTCAGTTTAAGTTTTTATAGTGGAAAGTAGCGAATTGAATAGTATCAATCGTAGGGTGGGGGTATAGTCGCTAATGGCCTTATATACGGTGAGGTTCCACTTCTGGTAATATGAAAGGGTAATAAGAAACTCATTTGTTGAGGTATATGAAAAGCGAGGGTAATCCGTCATGTCGGTCTGCAAAGGAAGTAAAATTAGGGCTAATAAAGATGCATCTTGGGCTGTAAAAAGGACAAGAAAACATGGTTCATTGTGGTTTATTCGTATCAAAGACGCGGTACATTTACAGTACTTAAGAGGAATGCGAAGCTCTGATTTGCCGGGCATATTATTGACGTGGTACCATTTTTCAGTAGACGGTATATGAAAGGGGTTTACACCTTTTCTGTCAAAAATGGTAAATGTTGTATGAGAGGGTAAGAGTACTCTCTCCCCGAGTATCTCTTCAGAGTTTCTCCCTCTGACCTACACGTACACGTAAAAAGTATTCGACTATCTACCTTGGCAAAGTCTGTGTATGCCGTAAATAAAATGGTTTCGGTTGAACAGTGCATAAATTTTCAATGAGGTAAGGATCTATTGTAATATTATATTATTTGCGACGTAATTTACCCCAATCCAGACCGCAGTCTTGATTTTTTTAAAAGTCATTTGCAGTTCTCCCCCCCCCCCCCCCCCCCACAAAAAAAAAAAAAAAAAAAAAAAATAAAAAAAAAAACAAAAAAATTTTTTTTAATAACAAAAAAATAGGAAAAGTAAGTAGAACAAAGCGTCTCTGGAGAGGAGAGAATATGCTAGATGGGTAGGACGCAGAAAAAGAACAAAAAAATTGTCGTTAATGTTTGTTTTCAGCGGTAATTTTTAATTCGAAACTAGACTATTGTGGATTTGCGCAAATTTGCTCCTTGCAAATATGTTGCAAATATATATACTGATGAGTAAATAGATGGCAAACATAGTACATGCAACGTTTGCCTAGTCACTCACATCCACCGTTTTTTGGTCTGCACATGTGACATTTTATAGAGTGTTTCCACTCACGCGACCCACATCTATGCAAATTTATGGGAATAAAAGAAAGTGTTTGCATAAGAAAAGAGATCAACTCCCACAGGATTGGTTTGGAACACCAAGATGGCCGCCGGTTTATTCTTTTTGGAACACCAATATGGCCGCCGTGACGTCATGTGAAAACGCTCTATACCATGTTTGCCATCTATTTACTTCTCAGTATTTACATATTTGCGACATATTTGCAAGGAACAAATTCATTTTTTTCGTGTAGTATGTCTAGTCCCAGATTCCTCTAAAGACAAATTAATAATATATAAACGCTACGAATAAATTAAATATGCCCATGCCAGATGAAAGGCCCCTAGTTTTAAACGGTTCAAGTGAGTTATCTTGCAGTAAATGTCAGTAATTAGTTAGTTTATGGCACTTGGCTGCATTATATTAAGGTTCGATTTCCACCGTCTCCCCCACGGGTCCGATGTTTGGCCCTCCTCGAACTGAGAGGGGAGGGGCGGATGAGGGTGGGCTTATTTTCTGGAACAGCGGCTGGTAATCGAGCCTATTGCTGGTTTACACGTGACGTGACGGCGGCCATGTTGGTGGTCAAGAATAAAAGCATTTCTCTCCTCTGGGCCACTAAACTCTATTTTCATGTAAATTCTTCGAGAAAATATGCTATTGTATTGACCCGCAATATGGCCGCCTTGCCAAGTGGTTGCCAACCACTAGATCTTGTTAAAAAATGGATAGAATATTCACTACATTTATTAACGTTAATACAAAATATGACTGTTTTATGTAGATATAGACGAGTGTACGGCCTCTTTGCGGTTTTGTAATCTCAATGCTAACTGCGTCAATACCGACGGTTCGTACTACTACTCTTGTTTCAGTGGTTTTTATGGTGATGGTAAAAATTGCGAAGGTAGGCACAATTTTTTCATTCAGCATTAAGTGACAATTAAAGCTCTTAGAAACATCTTCATTTTTAGCGATAAGCGGCAAAGTAAACTTTCGATGTACTTTCAACACACTCAGTTACTTTGATGTTTTGATTCTGTTATCATGTTGATTCTAGGGTCTCTATAGCGTCAGTTCGGTAGATCCTGTAATAAAGCTACTTTGCTGAAAGGAAAGACCTTTCAAATTTTCAGTTTAGCAAATTTTGAGGTAAAAAAGGCAAAAAAAGCTCTCAGAAAATCTTGGGCAAGCCCTGATAAAGTGCTTAAGGTGGCTGAACACAGTTTTGGCAGTTTGTGAGTATATGTCATTTACCAAATCATAGCAAGAGAAAGGTTGTAGCTCAAAAGCTGAAACTTGGCAAGTGAAAAATATGCTGATGAAAAATTTTGATTGTCCGGTAAAATTTGACGTTTTCGTAGTTTCCATGGCAACACGAACGATTGAATACAAACTTAAAATTTCACTTTTGTTCAGTTTACAAAAAATTCGCTCATTAGATTTTCCTATAAACTTGCACACAGCTTGCTATAATTTATCATTACCATTTGAAACTTATTTGACCAAATTTTAACAGACGGGTTTTTAGATAATAATATAATTGTACTGTAATTATTAAATATGTCACAAAAATCGTCTGTTCGGTCATCTTCCATTTTAAAGTTCTCATTATTCAAAATACGATAAAAGTAAAAATTCTGCTAAATATCACAAAATTTTAATGAGCAGATTTTGAGAAATCGTCTTTCACCGCCATGTTTGTTTGTCTAATTAAAACATGCGCCGTCACGCAAGTTACCGCTAACCACCTGCAAAACTGTGTTCAGCCACCTTTAAAAGGGCCTCTTTACATGCAGGTGAGGGACCCTAGATAGGTGCAGGTAACATGTGGTGGGTCACCCCACCTATCAAGTAAACGTGATTAAATTAAAATGAGAGATTATTTGGACAGGTGGGTTACCCCACTAAAGAGAATTACCTCGCCTACCTGGGGTACCCCACATCGATGTACATGTAAACAGGCCCTGAGTGACCTTGAGATGCGTGACCAAACAAAAAAAGATGTAGCGCGGCTTAGAATGCAAACAGGCCCTGAGTGACCTTGAGATGCGTGACCAAACAAAAAAAGATGTAGCGCGGCTTAGAATGCAAAGAAAAAACCTTAAAAGCACTTGATTAAGAGCACTTAGAGGTAAAAGAAACCTGTCTTTTGGAGCCTTTGTTAAATGAAACAGCACCTTCAAGACTGAAACAATATTAAGTTTGCTTTACTGTCAATATCATGCAGACATAGATGAGTGTTCAAGTGGAAGTCATAATTGTGACAGTGATGAGAGAGCAACCTGTACAAATACTATTGGTTCATATTTGTGTTCATGCAAAGAAGGTTATGAAGGAGATGGAAGGACTTGCAGTCTTCCAACAGGTAAACGGATGACGTTGTTAATGAATGCATAAGATGAGATCTACGTTAGAATATCATAGAAATGGCGTCAGTTTAAGTTTTTATAGTGGAAAGTAGCGAATTGAATAGTATCAATCGTAGGGTGGGGGTATAGTCGCTAATGGCCTTATATACGGTGAGGTTCCACTTCTGGTAATATGAAAGGGTAATAAGAAACTCATTTGTTGAGGTATATGAAAAGCGAGGGTAATCCGTCATGTCGGTCTGCAAAGGAAGTAAAATTAGGGCTAATAAAGATGCATCTTGGGCTGTAAAAAGGACAAGAAAACATGGTTCATTGTGGTTTATTCGTATCAAAGACGCGGTACATTTACAGTACTTAAGAGGAATGCGAAGCTCTGATTTGCCGGGCATATTATTGACGTGGTACCATTTTTCAGTAGACGGTATATGAAAGGGGTTTACACCTTTTCTGTCAAAAATGGTAANTTTCTACTAGAGTAAGATTTTATTGTAATTTTTTTTTTTTTCCGCCTTAATTTCCCCCACCCACCACCCCATTTTTGTTTTTTTTAAAAGTCTTTTGACTTCCCCCCCCCCCCCCCCCACCTAAAAAAAAAACAAAAAGAAAACAAATTGAAAACTGTCACGAATATTTTTCTTTACATGAATCATGATTTGTAAGGTTTCTTTAATTATTTTTACCTAGAATGTAAAAACTACAATACATTGCCCGGCGGATATGGGAGGAAAGTCACCCACTCTTCAGGCTCTAAGTGTGATAGTCAACTATCTCAGGGGTGGTACCGCTTACGTGAAGATGCGGGGACAAAAATGGCAACGTCTTGTGTTGCAGAAAATAGATGCAACACAGATCACACGGGTTGGTTAGACGGCGATCATCCTACTGTGGCAGAAGGTCAAGTCACCAGGCGGGTCTGTTTTCGCAAAAACTCAAACTGCTGTAAATGGTCCATCAACATTAAAGTTCGAAATTGTGGGGACTACTTTGTTTATTTTCTCAATGGAACACCTGATTCTAAATGCAATCTCCGATACTGCACCACTGACTAAAAAGACAGTTTCGAAATTGCGTCTTTGGCGAAGGTACTGACTAGATCTTCTGAAGAAGACAGTGGCGATACTCTGGCACTGACTAGTTTCTCTGAAGAAGACAGTATAGTAGCGATTCTCGGGCACTGACTAGATCTTCAGCTGAAGAAGACAGTATCGATTCTCTGGCACCGACTAGATCTTCTAAATAAGACAGTAGCGGTACTCTGGTACTGATTAGATCTTCTGAAGAAGATAGTGGCGATACTCTGGCCCTGACTAGATCTTCTGAAGAAGAGAATAGTGATACTCTGGCACTGACTATGTCTTCTGAAGAAGACAGTAGCGATACTCTGGCACTGGCTAGATTCCCAGAGGAACACAGTATCGATAATCCAACATTGACTAGATTCTTACAAGAAGACAGTTATAGATACTCCAATACTGACAAGATTTTCAGAAGAAGACAAGGATGTGGCTAATATATTACAATAAAAAAGTTGTGGGGGGTCTTTTAAAATACAGATATTCGGCGTTGATCCCCATTAACGGGGACTTAAATGTCAACAGCAAGTGTTTCTACGAGCAGAAGCTTTGCAAATACTCTTGATTGGTTAAACGGCCTTCACGAAACACAAAAAAAGCATTACCATCACCTCGCGTATTTCTTTAAACAAGAACGTTTTCCTCTTTAGTAAAGTGGCAGGCGGTCAGTCATAACGCACTACTGATCAATCTCTATAAAATAGACCTCAAGCTGCTTTCAGTGGTCTATCAACATTGAATGCTAAACAGCCTTCGTGTATCTGATGAGTGGAACACCCACGGTACACCACGGTACACCAACTAAACTTTGTTGGAACAAAAGCTAGGAAAAGCTTTAACTGCCGGTACATGGTGTGGTTACGTTAAGAGGAGAGTAAAAGTTTAATTCCACAGTCAGTGATCAAAGACATATAGGTAGAGTGAAAACAATAAAAATGAGGGGGTGGAGATGGGGAGTTAAAACAATAGAAATGTGGTGGTGGTGTAAAATTTTCACTATTCACGGATTGATATCAATACAAACAAACTGTGTTAAAACAAAATGTCGATGTAGGGTCAATGTCGGATCGATGTGAGGTCGATGTGGTGGAGGGAAAAGAAAAAGAAAAGGAAAAATTAGAAAGGGAAAATAAGTTAATTGTGGAGGAGTAGGAGGAGGGCGGAGTAAGTAAATGCTAAAAAGAGCTGGTTTGCCTTTGTCTTCATTAATATGCACGAATTGCCCGCAAAGAATCAGTGAACCGGAACTAGGAAGATGACAGCGGAAGAAAATAGAACGTGCATAATTAGTCTCGCTTGCTTTAGCGGCGAGACTCAGAAAATGCAAGCGTTTTTTTTTTTAATTTTTTTCCGTGCCTGCCCCAAATAGTGGGACGTTCAGGGTCCCTGGATAAGAATCGTGACGACTTTCGTTGTGTGCAAACGAGTCTCGTGATGAGCATGCGGTTTATTTTCGGCGATGACTGAAATGACGCATTAAGTTGATCACGTTTTGGCTGCTTGCACAGGGTCCAGAGGAGATGTGTTTGTTAGAAAATCAAAACCCGTTGAAAACCTCTGAAAAGATGGGTTATTTTGATCGCGTTACACTTTCGTTACACATTCTATAGACCGCAAACCAAGAGACTGAGGGCTCGGAAGATCGGCTTAAAGTATAAAATACGTCTTTTTTTTCACTCGGCAATTCGTGCCTCGGTCGCCCTTCGGGCGACACGCCGTGCGCCAGCTAGGATATGGCTTGCGGTTATTGATTTTCAAAATGGTGAACAGCAAAGTCGATCTGGGTCAGATAAGAAGCGAAGAAATCGTTTACAGTAAATTCATAAAGATCCCATTGGGCTAATTAATCGTGCTAAGCGACAGGTATAGACATTTTTCAAGGAGAGACTTTAAATAAGTAATTCATTTATTCACACGAAACTCCTCTGGACCCTGTGCTGCTTGGCAATGACGTAATTTTCCCCTAATCGCGGCCCTTGATTTTCGTTTTTTTATGCGGGCGTATTAAAAAGTAAATACCCTGATAAATAGTCGACCGTAGATAAAGTAGGATGAGAAAATAATATAGCGGGAAAATCCTGTTTTGTAGTGTATTGAGGCGTTACGTTTCTCAGTATTATCTGAATTACTGGAACTCTACGGTTAAATAGATTCACTTTGTTGTATATATAAATTGATAGAACTTTGGAGTTGTTAAGATGTGAAGTCGCGTAGCACTTTACAGATACTTGAGATATCAATGATTTAGCCTTCAACTACTACTGGAAGTAACTTCAACTACACGTCTGATGTTGGGTGTCCGGAAAACTAAGACCTAAGACCTAAGACCTAAGACCTAAGACCCGGAAAACTAAGACCCGGAAAACTAAGACCCGGAAAACTAAGACCCCCTTTTTTTTTTTTTTTTTTTTTC